CTCAATAAATAAATAAATAAATAAATAAATAAATATGGTTCATCACATAAATAGAACTAAAGACAAAAACCACATGATTATTTCAATAGATTCAATAGATACAGAACTGAAAAGGCTTTTGATAAAATTCAACACCCTTTCATGTTAAAAACTCTGAACAAACTAGGTATTGAAGTGACATACCTCAAAATAAGAGTCATCTATGACAGACCAACAGCCAAGATCACACTGAAAGGGCAAAAGCTGGAAGCATCCCCCTTGAAAACTGGCACAAGACAAGGATGCTCTCTCCCACCACTCCTATTTAACATAGTGTTGGAAGTCTTGGCTAGGGCAATCAGGCAAGAGAAAGAAATAAAGAGCACCCAAATAGGAAGAGATGAAGTCAAACTATCCCTGTTTGCAGATAACATGATTCTATATCTTGAAAAAGTCCCATAGTCTTGGCCCAAAAGCTCCTTACATTGATTAACAACTTCAGCAAAGTCTTGGGATACAAAGTTAATGTGCAAAATTCACTAACACTCCTATACACCAACAACAGTCAAGCCAAGAGCCAAGTCAGGAATGTATTCCCACTCACAATTGCCACAAAAAGAATAAAATACCTAGGAATACAGCTAACCAGGGAGGTGAAAAATCTCTACGAAGAGAACGACAAAACACCGCTCAAAGAAATCAGAGATGACACAAACAAATGGAAAAACATTCCATACTCATGGATAGGAAGAATCAATATCGCTAAAATGGTCATACTGCCCAAAGCAATTTATAGATTCAATGCTATTCCTGTTAAACTACCAATGACATTCACCACAGTACTAGAAAAATTATTTTAAAATTCATATGGGTTGGGCAAGGTGGCTCACACCTGTAATCCCAGCACTTTGGGACTCTGAGGTGGGCAGATCACCTGAGGTCAGGAGTTTGAGACCAGCCGGGCCAACGTGGTGAAACCCCATCTCTACTAAAAATACAAAAATTACCTGGGCATGGTGGCAGGTGTCTGTAATCCCAGCTACTCATGAGGCTGCGGCAGGAGAATCGCTTTAACCCAGGAGGCGAAGGTTGCAGTGAGCCGAGATTGCACCATTGCACTACAGCCTGGGTGACAAGAGTGAAACTCCATCTCAAAACAACAACAACAACAACAAAAAATTCATGTGGAATCAAAAAAGAGACCAAATAGCCAAGGTAATCCTAAGCAAAAAGAACAAAGCTGGAGGCATCATGCTACCCAACTTTAAGCTATAATACAGGGCTATGGTAAGCAAAATAGCATGGTACTGGTACAAAAACAGACACATAGACTAATGGGACAGAATAGAGAACCCAGAAATGAGGCCACATAGCTGCAACTATCTGATCTTTGACAAAGCTGACAAAAACAAGCAATGGACCAGCCTGAGCAACATGACAATACCCCATCTCTACAAAAATTCAAAACTTAGTTGGGCATGGTGGCACACAGCTACTCAGGAGGTTGAGGCAGGAGTACTGCTTGTGCCTGGGAGGTCAAGCCTGCAGCGAGCCATGATTGCACCACTGCACTCCAGCCTGGGCTACAGAATAAAACCCTGCCTCAGAAAAAAAAAAATTAAAATTCAATTAAAATTTAAAAACGAGCAATGGGGCAAGGATTCCCTAGTCAATAAATGGTGCTGGTATAACTGCCTAACAATATTCAGAAGATTGAAACTGGACCACTTCCTTACACCATATACAAAAATTAACTCAAGAGGGATTAAAGACTTAAAAGCCAAAACTATAAAAACCCTAGAAGACAACCTAGGCAATAGCATTCTGGACATAGGAACAGGCAAAGATTTCATGATGAAGACGCCAAAAGCAACTGCAACAAAAGGAAAAATTGACAAATGGGATCTAATTAAACTAAAGAATTTCTGCACAGCCAAGGAAACTATCAACAGAGTAAATAGACAACCTACAGAATGGGAGAAAATTTTTGCAAACTATGCAGCTGACAAAGATCTAATATCCAGCATCTATAAGGAACTTAAACAAATTTACAAGGAAAAAATAAACAGCCCCATTAAAAAGTGGGCAAAGGACATGAACAGACACTTTTGGAAAGAAGACATACGTATGACCTACAAGCATATGAAGAAAAGCTCAACATCACTGATCATTAGAGAAATGCAAATCAAAACCACAATGAGATACCACCTTACACCAGTCAGAATGGCTATTATTAATATTATTATTATTATTATTATTTTGAGATGGAGTCTCACTCTGTTGCCCAGGCTGGAGTGCAGTGGTGCCATCTCGGCTCGCTGCAAGCTCCACCTCCTGAGTTCACAACATTCTCCTGCCTCAGCCTCCCGAGTAGCTGGGACTACAGGCGCCCACCACCACGCCCAGCTAATTTTTTGTATTTTTAGTAGAAACAGGGTTTCACCGTGTTAGCCAGGATGGTCTCAATCTCCTGACCTCGTGATCTGCCCACCTTGGCCTCCCAAAGTGCTGGGATTACAGGCGTGAGCTACCGCACCTGACCATTATTATTATTATTATTATTATGAGATGGAGTCTCACTCTGTCACCCAGGCTGGAGTGTTGTGGCATGACTTCAGTTCACTGCAACTTCTGCTTCCCAGGTTCAAGTGATTCTCCTGCCTCAACCTCCTGAGTAGCTGGGATTACAGGTGCCTGCCACCACACCAGGCTAATTTTTATTTTTATGCTTTTTGAGACAGAGTTTCTCTCTTGTTGCCCAGGCTGGAGTACAATGTCATGATCTCAGCTCACCACAACCTCCACCTCCCAGGTTCAAGGGATTCTCCTGCCTCAGCCTCCCAAGTAGCTGGGATTACAGGCATGTGGCACCACGCCCAGCTAATTTTTTGTATTTTTAGTAGAGATGGGGTTTCTCCATGTTGGTCAGGCTGGTCTCGAACTCCCGACCTCAGGTGATGCACCCGCCTTGGCCTCCCAAAGTGCTGAGATTACAGGCGTGAGCCACCACACCTGGCCAATTTTTATATTTTTAGTAGAGTCGGGGTTTCACCGTGTTGACCAGGCTGGTCTTGACCTCCTGATCTCAAGTGATCTGCCTTCCTCAGGCTCCCAAAGGATTACAGGTATGAGCCACAATGCCCAGCCCATGGATATTATTAAAAAGTCAAAAAATAATAATAACTGATTCTGGTGAGGTTGCAGAGATAAAGGAATGCTTATACACCATTGGTGGGAGTGTAAATTAGTTCAACCATTGTGGAAAACAGTGTGGTTTTTCCTCAAAGACCTAAAGACAGAACTACCATTTGACCTAACAATCCCATCACTGGGTATATACCCAAAGGGATATAAATCATTCTATCATAAAGACACATGCATGTGTATGTACACTGCAGCACCATTCACAAGACCAAAGACATGGAATCAACCTAAATGCCTATCAATGGCAGACTGGATTAAGAAAATGTGGTACATATACACCATGGGATACCATGCAGCCATAAAGAGGAATGAGATCATGTCCTTTGCAAAAACATGGATGGAGCTGGAGGTCATTATCCTTAGCAAACTAATGCAGGAACAGAAAACCAAATACCACGTGTTCTCACTTATAAATGAGAGCTAAATTATGAGAACACATGGACACAGAGGGGAATAATAGACACTGGGGCCTATCAGAGGGTTGAGGATGGGAGGAGGGAGAAGATCAGGAAAAATAACTAATGGTCACTAGGCTTAATACCTAGATGATGAAATAATCTGTACAACAAACCCCCATGATACAAGTTTACCTATGTAACAAACCTGCACATATACTCCTGAACTTAAAATTAAAGTTAAAAGAAAGAAAAAGTTGAATTTGTGAGTTTTTGTGCCCTAGTAAAATTAGGTACTACTGTAGTTAGTAGTAGTATTATAACGGTCTAGAGAGAGTTTAAAAAAAAAAAAAAGGAATATTATGAGCAGCTTATGCCCACAAATTTGATAACCTAGATGAAATGAACTAATTCTTTGTACAACACAATCTGCAAAAACTCACAGGAGAAGAAATAAACTATCTGAATAGACCTGTCTCTATTAAAGAAATTGAATCAATAATTTTTAAGCAAAATTCACATTTTATTTAGGTTGAAATAAACTATACAAACTTGATTTTCTTCACCAAAAATAACACCAATATTTTCCATATTTTTCTAGATAAACCACAACACTTAGTTTTGTAGGTTTTCCAGGTTTTTCTTATAAATCAAGATGAGGCAGTAGATAAGAGTCATGGAAAAAGACAGAAAAGAAAAAACAGACAAATCAGTTGTCAGTATCCATGGCCTCTGATTCTCTCTTAACCATGAAACAGAAGTGTTCAACATATACCTGCTAAAAAGCTTAGGAAGATGTAGGCTCCACAAAGGAATGTAAGCAGCAACAATGAGATGTGGAAGAACGGCAGGCTCTTCCATTCAAACTTTGTTATTTGTTCCTTTAAGTTCAAGAAAGACAAAATCTACACTGAAATCCTTGTTTGGTGAGCTCACAAGCTTTTCTCCAGTAATTTCTTGTAACTGTCCAATATAGATTTTTAGCATACTTAAAACTCCTATTAGTCAAACATCAATTGTGGGCTTCACTATAACATTTTATAAAATGTATTCCTTCCTCCCACACCTCTTCAAAACATATTTCTTCAAAGAATTCATAATGCCCAACAAGTAGAGAGCCACAGTGACAACAAATGCTATGTCTAAAATGACTTAACTAAAACAATTCCAGAGTGCTGTCAACAGAGATCACACAGAAGGAAACGTGGCACTTTCAATGTTCTCTTCTGGAAGAACAGGTAGGTCTTCAAAGCATGAGAGTTCAAACAGGGACATTTAAACAGGTAGATTATCAATGGCTAAGGTATTCAATGGAGCCCTATAGGCAAAGATATTTAGTGATTAAGTGACCTACATACACTGTATGACTTTTCTTCCAAATATCAAATATAAGAAAGCCTATTTTTAAAAGTCTCTTAGGTGTTTTCCATGTTTCAGAATTATCTGTGGGAAACCCTGACTTACTTGTGTAGAGTTTAATATATGTGTCCACCATTAAATCCAGGTCGTGTTTTATATCAAAATTTATGTTAAGCAAAGCCAAGTTACTCAACCTTTGGTCTGTCAAAATGATCCTCAAATATGCTTTAAGAAGCTTTCATCCATTTTCATACTGCTCATTCTCAACCTTCATCACAGGAAGAATACACAGGACCTTCAGCAACGCATACACATTAGGAAAAAACTTCATGTCAGGAAGGTGGAGGGCTTCATGGATGGTGGATGGAAGCTCTGTATCTTTCCCCCTGTGTTTCCATTTGATTCTCCAACAATGAAGCTCAGCTGACAGTGTGTCGGAATTGGGTAAGTCGCTTCTGTACACATCAGCATAGTGTTCCTCCAATGTATTGAATTTCAGTTGTCCCATGACTGAGGGTACCAGAGATAAGCATTTAAGAGCTCTGAGGTGCTGTTCTGAGAATATATCTTTAAGTTCCTGAATAATGTGCTCCACTGTTGGGACACTTAGAGTTTCATTACAGTAACTCTCAGAGGTTAGCTGAGATTCCTGGTGAGCTCTGCGGAATTTCCCAGGGAGTTTCATTTGAATATCAAGTTTGGTTGCCAAATTTGTGGCTTCCTCAAACCAAAATTCATTATAAACTTCAATATTTTCCATCACTTCGTTGAGTGAATGCAGTACTGCAGTCAAGCTACCGCCTGTAAAGAAGACATCAGAGGTTTGCCCCTGGAGATTTTTCCCAAAGGCTCTTATAAAAGGACATTTTTAAGAACAACAATAGTAACAATGAAATCAAAATCTGTTACTGCACTGCAGAGTACAAATGCTCGGCCAGCTATACAGTTATTTCATCTAATATTTCTCACTGAGAATGGCAGATTTCCTTCAGTTCTTTACCCCTTTCTTTACTGTTCTGAAAAAGAAATTACACTGTGAAGTTCTAAAAGCAGTTGTGGTGATCGATGGAAAAAAGAACAAACTTCCTCAATTGTTCCTAATGCAACAGATACTCCCATAACAGGTACTGATTTTGCCAACCACATATTTAAGGCACAGGAAGAGCAGAGTGTGTAGATAGCTTGGGGATATTTCTCTAAACATCTAGAGGCAACAACTTTCATTTTGGAAGAAAATCCGCGGGGTGAGGTGGCTCACGCCTGTAATCCCAGCACTTCGGGAGACTGAGGCAGGCGGATCATGAGGTCAGGAGATCGAGACCATCCTGGCTAACATGGCAAAACCCCGTCTCTACTAAAAATACAAAAAATTAGCTGGGCGCGGTGGCGGGCGCCTATAGTTCCAGCTACTCGGGAGGCTCAGGCAGGAGAATGGCGCGAACCCGGAAGGCGGAGCTTGCAGTGAGCCAAGATTGCGCCACTGCACTCCAGCCTGGGCGACAGAGAGAGACTCCGTCTCAAAAAATAAAAATAAAAATAAAAATAAAATAAAATAAAATAAAAAGAAAAAAAAGAAAAAGAAAAAAGAAGAAGAAAATCCGCTAGACACAATGTAAGCCTGGCCACGACAATACTCCATATTGAATCCCCACTTCTCAGTTATCATAGTGTGAAACTTCACAGCCAAAATTTCTGTATCGGTTTCATAAGGCAGGAAGCCTATAAATTCCTCTCTTAGGTTATGAGATTCATCAACAAACCTCACCAACACAGGTAGGTGCTCTTCCCCTGCTATGTCCACTACATCATCACTGATAATGGAAAAGAAGGGTGAGTCTCTCACTTCCCTGTGAGTTTTTTCTCGAATACAGCTCTCACAGATCTCTAGCATCTGCCTCTGCTGTGTTTTTGAACAAAACAACGTGTTAACTGCTGTTGTCTCAAACAGCTTTCTCAGAACCTCTTCACCAGAATTTATTCGGCACTCCAGCAGTGCCTGAAAGTTATCTGGAGTAAAGAGACCTGGGATTACGTCAGCCTCATGTCCATCCAGAGGTATGTTTTGCTTTCCCATCAGAATCAATATTTCAAATAGAGATTTTAGGTATTCTTTGTTTTCTTTCTCTTCAAGGGTTAGAGGTAAAATGTCCTCATTCTTGCCCTTCACCCTCTTCTTCACTGGGGTTCTGAGCATTGCTATTGTTGGTTTCTTTATGTTTTTGTTCCTGCTCAGAAGTTTCATCAATTTTTTTTCTGTTTCAGTGTCCTGATTTTGTCTTCACTCAGTTCTTTTATTCGTTTTCTGTGTCTACTATGTGGGTTGTTCAAATGACTGGTAAGGTCAAATATTGTTAGTATTGCATTATCTCAAAGAACTGTCCTATAAGGACTAGTTCTGCAGATCATGGAGGTCTCAAAATCTTTGGCACATAATCGATAATGTTTATTTAGCTGATCAGGTGTTTTATCTTCTAAGGCTACTCTCCTACAATTCTCCACCCACTTCTGGCATCTGGTCGGGGTCCACGGGAACCTGAAGAAGGCCAGGTTGTACTGCGTGCTCTTCCGCGTGCACTTGTGGGCAGCGCAGAAGTTTGCCTCAGGGCAGTCCGCCTGCCCATCGGGGCTGTGGAGGGGACTGAATCAATAATTAATAACCTTCCCAAACAGATGGCACTAGGGGTCACTGGTGAATTATACCAAACATTTAAGGAAGAAATTATATAAACTGTCTACAGTCTCTTCCAGGAGGTAGAAGCAGAGGGAACACTTCCTAATTTATTCTATGAGACCACTATTACCCAAGAACCAAAACCATATGAAGATATTACAAGAAAAGAAAACCGGCTGGGTGCGGTGGCTCAAGCCTGTAATCCCAGCACTTTGGGAGGCCTAGGCGGGCGGATCACCTGGAGGTCAGGAGGTCGAGACCAGCCTGGCCAACATGGCAAAACCCCATTACTAAAAAAAATACAAAAAACTAGCCGGGTGAGGTGGCGGGCGCCTGTAGTCCCAGCTGCTCAGGAGACGGAGGCAGGAGAATGGCGTGAACCCAGGAGGCGGAGCTTGCAGTGAGCCGAGATCCGGCCACTGCACTCCAGCCTGGGCGACAGAGCGAGACTCTGTCTCAAAAAAAAAAAAAAAAAATTACAAGATTTAGCCAGGCGTGGTGGCAGGCGCCTGTAATCCCAGCTACTCGGGAGGCTGAGGTAGCAGAATCGCTTGAACCTGGGAGGCGGAGGTTGCAGTGAGCCGAGATCGTGCCATTGCACTCTAGCCTGGGGGACAAGAGCTAGACTTCCTCTCAAAAAAAAAAAAAAAAGAAAAAAGAAAGAAAAGAAAACTACAGGCCAACATCTCATGAATGTAGATGCAAAATATCCCCATCAAAATATTAGTAAATATCCATAATGAATAAAAATTATGCACCTTGACCATGTGTGATTTATTCCATGTATGCAAGGCTAGTTCAACATTTGAAAATCAATTGACGTAATCCATCACATCTATAGGCTAAAAAGGAAAAATTGTATGATCATATCCATAGATGCAGAAAAAGCATCTGAGAAAATTCAACACTCATTCTGTATGATGCTATAGTAGTGTATACATTTGTCAAAGCCCATAGAATGTACAAAATCAAGAATGAAAATTTAAACTATGGACTTTGAGTGATAATGGTGTGTAAAGGTTGGTTCATCAATTTGAAATACATATACCACTTCTGGTGTGGAACGTTGATAGTGAGGGAGGCTATGCATGTGTGTGAGAAGGAGTATGTGGGATCTCCCTGTACTTTTCATTCAGTTTTGCTGTGAACCTAAAACTGTTCTAAAAAGTAAAGTCTATTGTTTTTGAAAAATGGAAGAAGTCATTCTGGGTCACACCCTAAATAACTGGTAGACCTGGAACTCAACTCCAGATTTATTTGACCACAACTGTCTTGTCCTTATCCACTGTGCCACAAGATCCACTTTGAATTTCACCCTGTTTAATATTTCTTTGCTGAACACAATTGGCTAGATGGAAAAAGAACTTGACTCACCATTTAGAAAAGCAAGGAACCTAGTTTTTGTGTAGAAATTATAATAATATATTTCTACTAAAGGGTACATTTCAGTAAGAAAAATGAAGGAAAAGTTAAGACATTTCTAGATAAACAAAAACTGATTATATTTATCACTAGTAGACATGCCCTACAACAAACGCTAGAGCCAATCCTTCTTCTGGGTATATACTGAAAGGAGATGAAATCACCATCTTGTAAAGACATCTGCACTCTCAAGTCACTGAAGCATTATTCACAATAGCCACAATATGGATACAACATAAGTGTCCATCAATGGACAAATGGATAAAGAAAATGTGTTATATATGTATATAGATATGTGTGTGTACTTATTTATACAAACCCACATATATAATGAAATATTATTCAGCCTTTAAAAAGGAGATACTGCCATTTGCCACAAAATGGATGGACCTGGAGGACATTATGCTAAGTAAAATAAGCCAGATAAAGAAAGAAAAATATAGCATAATCTTATTTATATTGTGCACTCTATTTTTTAAAAGTCAAATATATAGTACAGAGAGAATGAAACAGTGGTTACCATGGGTGGGGATAGGGAAGAAACAGGAAAATGTAGGTCAAGGGATACAAAGTAGCAGATATGTAGGATGAACAAGTCTAGAGTTTTAACATACCACATTAGGACTGTAGTTAATAAAATTGTGTTAAAGATTCTTGTCAACTAAGTAGAGTTTAGCTGTTCTTGTCACAAAAGAAGTAACTATGTGAGATGATAAATATGTTAATTTGCTTCACCACAGTAACTATTTTACTATCTACATGTATTCCATAACATGTTTTAAACCTGAATACACAATAAGATTTATTTTTTAAAAATGCCAAAGAGAGTCTTCCAGACTGAAATAAAAGGAAAACAGAAAGTAATTCAAGGATAGCCAAAGAAATCAAGAACAAAGGTAAAGGTAGATACACAAGTGTTATTGGCTGAATTGTGTCCACCAAAATTTATGTATTAAAGTCCTGGCTTCCAGTACTTCAGGATGTGACTATATTTGGAGAAAGAGTATTTAAGAAGTAATTAAGTTAAAATAAGGTCATTGGAGTGGGACTTAATCCCATATGATGAGTATCCTTATAGGAAGCAGAGATTAGAATACAGATACCCACAGAAGAAAAACTATGCAAAGACACAGGGAGAAGATGGCCATCTACAAGCCAAGGAGAGAGGTTGCTAAAGGAACTAACCTGGTCGACACCTAGACCCAGGACTTCTATTCTCTATAACTATTGGAAAATAAATTTTTATTGTTTAAGCCACTCAGTCAGTGATACTTTGTTATGACAGCCCTAGCTACCTAATATAATAGGTAAGTATAAAAAGCCAGTAGTAGTGCTTATTTGGTTTGTAACCATTTTTTTCCGTAGAATTTAAAGGACAAAGATATAAAATAATAATTTTAAAGTTATGCTAGTGGGTACACAATGTATAAAGGTGTAATTTGTGACAATAACAACATAAAAGAGAGACAGAGCTGTAAGGGGTCAGAGTTTTCTAGTACTATTGAAGCTAAGTATTAATTCAAAGTTGAGTGTTACAAAGTTAAGACAGCAATTGTAATCCCCAGGATAATCACCAAGGAAAAAACTGAAAATACACAGAAAAAGAAACAAAGAGGGATTCAAATGGTACACTAACAAAAAAAAATCAATTAATCACAAAAGGAAGCACTAATGGAGGAAGTGAGAAACAAAAAAGATAATGTATTAGTATGCGAGGGCATATAAATATATATGTATATATAAAATACTATATATATAAAAGACACATATTAGTATGCTAGGGCTGCCATAACAAAATATAACTTAAAGGGTGGTTTAAACAACAGAATTGTGTTTCCTCACACTTACAGAGTCTAGAAGTTCAAGACCAAGGTGTTAGCAGGTTTAGTTTCTCCTAAGTCCTTTCTTCTTGTCTTGCAGATGGCTTCCTTCCCGTTGCATCCTCGCATGGTCTTTTCTCTATGCATGCACATCCTGGTGTCTCTCAGTGTGTCTTAGTCTAATAAGGACATCAGTCAGATTCGATCAGAGCCCACCCTAATAGCTTCATTTTTACTTACTTACCCCAAAGGCCCTATTGCAAATACAGTTATAATCTGAGGTACTGGGGGTTAGGCTTTCAACATATAAATGTTGAGGAACCACAATTCAGGCCATAATAAGACATACAGTAAACATGGCCAGGCATGGTGGCTCACGCATGTA